TGGCTGCACTTGAGCCTGATCCAGGACACGTGGCAGGCAGGTCTGATTCCTTTGTTAGACAGAAGTGATGAAGGATGAGTCTGCCCCCAGACTGGGTTCCAGACTAGTGGCTGAGCAGGGCAAGTTAGGGACCTGGAAGGAGATGGAAAGCAAAACCCTAGAAATTCGGGTCTGCAGTGTAGTCCTGTCTGTGATTTGGAGCAAATGCCACCAAACAGGAGAGGGCAGTCCAACCCCTGGGCTGCATTTCTGGCACTGGCTGGAGGACTCTGGCTCAACTGCTTCCCCAGAAGACATGCCTGGTTCTGGCAGGACCACATGTCTGGAGATTGGGAGCCAGAATTGCTTTCAATTTCACAACCCATGGGAGCAAAGTGTGGTGGCTTTGCCTCACCCGTAACCCCTGGCATTAAGCTGGCTATCTCACATCCAATCTGCACTCGCTCTAGCGGCAGTGGAGGCACCTCACTTGGAGTAGAGGCCTGACTCCAAGGGATTAAGTCCACCATGAAACTGCTTCAGCAACAGGGCACAGTTAGGGAACACTGGCCTGGTGACACGAGAGCCCTTCCCTGACAAAAAGGAGCTCAGAACTCAGGGCCAGGATCTCTTGCTCATCTTTCTTTCCCATGGCATAACGTAGTGTTAATGGCAGTGGGTGGATCACCTCATGGCTCCCACCCACAATGGGGAAAATCCCTGAGGAAGACTGGTGAGGGTGGCCTAAGCCAACTGTCGGCTTTGGATGTTTCCATCTGGTCAGGGTTCCAGGTGTGGGCAACTTTGCCCAGGATGGCATGTGCGGAAGCCCCAAGGGAAGGGGGACGGAATGAATTAGGGCAAGCAAGCCACCCTAACCCCCTAACAGAGGTGGGTCATGCCTGTAAAACATGATCAGCAAGGTTCCACTAAGGTTTCTGCCAAGGACCTGTCGTTAAAGCCACAGTCAAGAAGACACCGTCCTCCAGTTCACTTGAACAGACATTTATTGAGCACCTACAGGTGCAAGGCACTGTTAGGTGCCATAAAGAGATACAGAGTGACCATATGGTCCCTGCCCTTGAGGAGCTCACAGTCTAGAGGGAGGCAACACAGTACACAGTTGGCTGCAGCTACACCTGCCAAGTGGCAGAGCCAGAAGCAAGACACCAAGTGCTGTGGGGTCACAGACACCACAGGGTTGCTTCTGTTCAGAGCGCAAAGACGACTCAGGGCTGGGCCTAGGAGAAGGTGAGAGTGCTGTAGGGCAGAGGGGCATTCTAGAAAAAAAAAAGTAAGCGTGGATAGGGCCCACTGGGAGCTCAGGTCTGGGTGGCTGGGTGGAATTATGGCAGGGGACAGAGAGTGGACAGTCAAGGGGCGGCCACGGGACACAGTCACGGACACTAGGCTCAGAGGGTAGGAACTGGATGCTCTGGTTGCAGCTGTAGAAGATCACAGAAGAAGAAAATGATGATGCAAAATGACCTTCTAGATGAACTTGAAGCCCTGTGGAGTCTAGGAGAGGAGAGCTGTAAAGTGGCCTAGTGTTGAGGGACCAGTGTCATGGGTGGAAATGGTGGGCAGTAGTAATCCAAGGGCCAAGAAGTATATAAGGGACCTCTCGGGGTTAGATGAGAGAAGATGACAGAATGTGGGCTGAGTTTCTGGGAACTAAGGCCCCACAAGGCTAGTAACAGGACTGGTGTCACCATAGTAGATGGTGGTATTAGGAAAGAGTGGTGGCTCCTAGAATAAGAGTAGTCACTCAAAATGTAGTTCCAGACTAACTGGAAGTGAAGAGCCTCTGGGCGTCCCTCTAGAGCAGAGGCCACACCTCGGGGTGGTGCCTGACAGCCTGCATTTTATTTTAGCAAGGGCTGCCCTTTCTGATATGAGGCCCAAGGGTGGCCCACTCTGAGAATCACCTGTTGAGAAACCATATTAAGGATTGGCCTTCAAGGAGGAGAAAGGAATAAAGAACCTCTAGAAGGAAAATAGAAGAAATAAGGCCATTGGCCTCACTATCGGTAGCTACTACCTTAACAATGAAAACAGCAACCCAGTGATTTCCCAGGCTACTCCCAGTAGTGGATAGATGCCAGGTTTGCACACCGGGGAGGAAAAAGCAGGGGTTGGAGCAAAGCATTAGCAACAAAATGCAGGGGGTTTAACTTCAAGGATCAAAGGTACCTGGGGGAGCAACAGGGAGGTGGTAATGCTGGGGAACAGTGCACTGATGGACCCAGCTGAGATGGCTCAGAATGTTGAGGATGGGGCAGCATAGAAGAGATGTGGGAGGCAGGCTAGGACCTGGGTGAGTCTGCTGCAGAGGGCACAGTTTGCAGTAGTTGCCCCATAGCCAGGAGGGGCTAGGCAGTGGCAAGAAGGCAGAGTCCTCTTTCTTGCCTTCCCACATTTACAAGCCTATATAAACACAACTCCATCCTGCCTCACAGCAAGTCCCAGAAACAATGCTGCCACAACTGTACTGGTACAGCTATGGCAACACACATGCATGTGCACAGAGCTGGATGCCCATCAGCTACACTAGTTACCTATCCTTTCAACCTCTGTAGGCATCAGACACTTTGACCAATGACCAAAAGTTGTGCTGGCCACCTCCCCAAAATGTCAGGAGGCAGAGACACTCCACTCTGGGAAGAATTCCAGACACTCCAAACTTCACTGTGGAGGCACTGAGGGATGGAGGTTAAGCATCTATAAGCACCAGCAGCAACAGAGCTTGGGATGAGGCAGAGAAGCAGGTTGTGAGCTTCCTTCAGTGGCTGGATAACTGGGCTTTAAATGCTACACCTAAATGTGATAAATTTCACAAAGAATCGAGAATTACATTTCACATTATAATCTACAAAGTAATTGTGCCTCTCAGTTTCCTCTAATCTTTTCTTCTCTCGTATATGGAGAAAGGGAAAATGGGCATGTATCCCAGAAACAATGCTAAGAAAGAACACAGAGGCTCCCACAACTCAAAAGACAGGCTGCCTGCAGAACCTTAGAAAGCCCAGGCTCCTTCCTGGTCAGGGTGAACTGTGGAGCACCCTGGTTCTCCTGGTTCCCAGGAATGCTGGACTGGGACTGAGGAGATCAGGAGGCCCTGGGCAAAGCTCCACCTTGGCACTTTTGCTATGCTCGAAGCTGGGGCACAGGGTGGGGGGCTGTGGTGGGTCTACTCCTGGACCTGAACAAAAGTCTTTGTTTTCTATTTGCACAGCCTGCAGGTCTCAAACCCCAAGTGACAGATGAGAAACAGCTCCCAGCAGGTTGCATCATCAAAGAATTCAGGAGAACATGACTGAAGTACAAGTGTGTGGCCACCTAGAAAGCTCTGTGTTCATCTCCTGAGGGATGCAGGAATCAAATGAAACCAAGACACACGCATGGTGACAGCATCCTGTGATCTACACAGTCCCTGCACCAAGAGAACAAACCAGCACCAAGTCCTCAGTTACTACTCGTGGGACCAGGAGAAAGACAATCCACAGGGCAGCAGAACTTACCATGAGGCCTAGGAGACAGCACAGATGGGAAACACAAAGCCCTTTAAAGGTCCAGGTGAGAGTCAAAATACTAAGATGACCAGGAAAAGTTTCACAGATACAGAATTCAAGCTACACTGAGAAGAGACAATACTGAGATAACTGGTTCTGAAAGACTCAAGAAGAGCTGCTAAGAAATCTCTAAAAAGACAAAAGAGGGGAAATGGGGAGGGGTCATTTGAGACCCCTTCTGAAACTACTAATGCTATTTATTGGCTTAGGTCATCCTTGAGAATAGAAAACTTTTTGGCAAAGCTGTACAAACTCCACATGGGGGGGTCTTTCCCATACTTGTGGGCTGTGGACTCATGCTGGCCACAGTAAGGGACTCCTCAACAGACTCTCCAATCCTACCTCACCTTCTGAGGCTGGTAGCTGCGGAGTCAGGCTGGGAGCATGGCGGCCTTGGCTGGTGAGTGCATTAAGGAGCTAGGCCAGTCAGGGAGAATGTTGGGATTCAGCTCCCTTCTCTGTCTGGTGGAGGGGAAGAAGGGTAGGGCTGAATGGACTCGGAGACTTCTCCCCTGCTCTTCTGAGTCTGACTTTTTCTTGTCACTGAGGACAGCCAGGCACCAAGTGCCATCTAGTGGCTCTTTTCCACTCTGGCAAATGACCTGCTGAGAAGACCCACAAGATCAGAGCAGGTCAGCTCCAAGGAGGAGGCAGGGGACACACACCATGTGAGTGACAGGACAGATCACCTCAAGAAAATATACTTTAAAAGGTCTTGCTTTCCTTAAGGAAGCAACCCCCCCATTTTTTTTTCTTTTAAATTTTATTTAGAAAGGCTAACCATATTCATTTGTCAATTTTTCTTCTGCTTTAAGGAAAATAGTTTAAAAAACATAAAATTGTAAATACACTCAAGAGTAACTGCTATTAAACAGTTCTGAACAGGCAGAAATGTACTTTCCCTTTTACAGAAAATGTTAAATCTGTAATAGCAGCATAATTTATATATAGAAAAAGCTGGCTTTGAAAATCCAGATTTTTGTATGTACAAAACACCTGTCTTCCTCCTTTTCCTACCCAGCATACAATGTTCACTCTGGGACAGCGTCTTCCCATTAGGAACTTCCCACGGTTGGCAGTTCCCTCTGGTCCCCACCAGCAGTGGGCTTTTAGCCCAGCCTTCAGTCCAATACCAGGGCGGAAAGGGCGTTCAGGTCTTTCATGTATGGATGAGCCATCAGGATCTGGTCAATCTTCAGTTTTTGTTCAGAGTCAGGGAAGATCTTCAGCAGGGCCTCCCTCAGCTCGCTGGTCTCTGCAGAAGATCTCTGTGCTGGCATGGGAAGGTTCTGCTGTATACTGGGAAGGGTGGCCAGGGGGTGTGAAGTGGGGCTGCTGAGAAAGCCAAGAGCCTGAAGAGGCTCCCTGGTTCCGGGATGGAGGCTGGTGGCTGGTGTTGGCTATCTGGGTGTTGGGGCTCCGCGGAAGCCAGGGTCAAACGTGCCCACATTTGGGGAGGACATTGAGTAGCGGCTGCATGTCTCTGTGGATGAAGTGAGTCATGGTGAGAGGGGGCAGTAAGAAACCCTATTAAAGCACACATGGCTAACACTGAGGGTCTAGATGCTAGCTAGTTCCATGGTTTCTGAAGGCCATGGGGTGGTGAAATCAGCTCCGATGCACCCAGCACCATTTCCAGACACATGCGAGAACGAGCACCCCTGGGATAGACAGTCCCATCCCCAGGTGCTGTCTGAGGGCAGGCTACAATCACTGGTTCTGCAAGGTTCCTGCTCTTTTAGAGGCTTTTATTCTGGGCAGTGTCAGCTGTCAGAACCAGGGAGAGGCATCCCTCTGGGCAAAAAGGCAACTCCAACAGGCTCAGGGAATCCCTGTCTCCAGTGAGGTCTGGAGCGGGGCATGTGTACTCTTGATGCATACGCACATGGTGTTGTATGTGCGTCCAGGGGACACCTGTCCTGCTTAAGCACTCAAACTGATTCTAGCCGCAGCTGAGAAATGGTGCTAATACTACCACCAACTTCAGAAGTCCAACAGCCTGCCAAAGCTCCATTATCCTTAAGAGGATCCAAGCAGCCACCAAGCTCTTTGACGATGACACTAGGTGAGAGGGAAAAATGACCAGGAGGGCTGATTCTGCCCATCAGGCTACTGAGGGAGTGGAAAGGTAGCAAAGAATCCACCTCTAGCTTGACCTGGGCATTGGCTCAGCATGGAGCCCACATACAGCCTCAAACACATGCCTTGAGGCCTGAAATGCTATGAGGATTTCCAATATAAGATGAGGGATTTGGAGGTGAGCTGGACAAGTGTACAGCAGGCCAATGTTTCGTCGGTGTGGACAGATAACCCTGTCTTAGTCAACACCTTCTGTGAGTCATAAAACCTCAAAAGCTCACACACAGAGAGATGATCACAAGATGAGGAAGCTCAAAGTATGCTGGTCTCCATTAGAGAAGCTCCTCGAGTGAGCTGGTGCACAGCCAGGCTCAAACTGATGGTCCCACAGGCTCATGCTATAAATGACTGGTTAGCAGCCTTGAAAGATGGGAGAGAATATGCCTTCTTCTTTTGGGTACCCAGACCAACCCCACGCAAAAACCTGCCAGGAGCGCCACAGAAATAGAGTTTATTTTGATTTTAAAACAGAGAAGGTCTGCCACTGGGTTAGCATAGAGGAGGCTGCAGGTCAGCAAAGAAATAACCTCTACTTGTCAGTCAATGTCAGACAGCTTTCCCATTTAGTGATGGTAAACAGTAGCTATCAGCCTCCACCCCCACCCTACCTTGCAATGATCCCTTAGTAGGGCACGAGTTCACTTAGCACTGCACAGTTAAAACAAACTGCAGAAAGTACATGGAAAAGTATCCCACAAAGAGAACCTGGGCCCAAGTGACTGACAAGCTACCAGCAGCTTGAAAACTGGCTTCTTCTGAGAGAGTGACTCAGGGCTGTCTGCTCTCTTAGGATTAAATGAAAAGGACCCCATACAGGGCGGGCCTAGACCCCAGCACAGGAGGCAGAGGCAGAAGGGTCCGAGTTTGAGCTTAGCCTGCTGACACAGAGGAAACGGTCTAAGGCAGGCAGGTAGGCAGGCAAAACAAAGCTAAAAAAGATCACAGTGAAGATTAGCCTTGGGTACTTATTGACTGGCTTCTACATCGGTCACATATTGCTAAGTCTAATTAAGGCTTAAAAAAAAAAATCAAATGCCATTTCTAATTTTCAAGGACAGCATTTGTTCCAAAGAAAAGCATTTGGTTAAAATAAAAAAATTTAACATACGAGGAAATACACAGAAATACCTAAGAAAGACCTCCTTTCGGAGAAATTCTTCTAGCCGAGGTCCGTTTCTTCCCCAGGGGGTCATCAGGAACCATAAATATGTCCCCCACGAACGTGTACTGAAGCAGTCTACAACACAAAGTCACAGTGCTGACAATCAGTACTCTTCACTGCTGGAGGAAATGAAACATTTCTCAAAGGAAGCCACCCATTTTGGGACAATGGTCTGTCTAAAAATCCTGCCAGCTAACTGCCCGAAGGGGGAAGCAACCCCCCACTTGCGAGTGAAACTGTTTTAACTTTTGTTGTGGACAGTCATGCAAGAAGCTTTTCTCAGCGGCCACAAATTTCATCCAGACGCCAGCCAGGTATTTTCTAACATATGAAAAAAACATAACTAAAGGCATTCTGCTAGGGACAAAGCAGGTGTGCCACAAAGTGAAAGTGGAAATAAATGTGTTCATGGGCAAACCTGTGATTTTTAAAAGGGCATACCAGAGGCCATGGGGGTCTAGCATCTACACACAAGAAATAAAGAACTCACCGGGCATGGTGGTATATGCTTTTTAACTCTGGCATGCCAGAGGCAGGAGAGGTGGAGCCCTGCCAGAGCTACATAATGGGTTCCTATTGCAAATAAATGAATAAATACAACTAGTGTCTACCTGCAGTGCATATTCTGGTTTCCGAGTTGCTTCTGTGAGGTCTGAGAGCAGTGGGTTGGTTTGAGCCTCCTTCGTGTGCATACTTGTATTAACACACACCAGTGTCCAAGAAGCTTAAAGGATTCATCAACTGTGCCTACTAGGTCAAAGATCAACTCTCTCCCACCTATCACCAATACCCTTTTAGCAACATAGAGCTCAAAATGTATTCACTTTCATCCAAGAGTGTGCAGCCAAGTGTTCTCTAAAAATGTAAAGGTGTGGTTCTGGGGAATGACCTCAGGTCCTCAGGCTTGACACATCTCATCAGCCCAAGCCAGGCTCTTTCAAAAATTCCATTAGGATGTAGCAAGTTAGAAGTATCAGACAAGGGCCAACTGTCAAGTCCAGAAATAGACATCCAGATGTGCTAGACATCTACCCACACTGCCCCTGCACAGTCCCTTTATGGTTCAGATCTATGGCATATCCGTCTTATCCCTGGAACCACAGCACAGCACTTTTGCTTCTTGTGTGACGCAGCTGCTCAAGGGGGCAAGTCTTCTGGGGGCTCACGGAAGCCAGGTATCCACTGCTCTTCAGTAGCTCAGCAACTGAACACATTCACAGCACCAGCAAGAAAAGCTGTGCACTGAACTCATGGAAAACACCAGACAATGAAGCTAGACTTACTCCAGTATCCCCAGTTAGGTGCCCCCTCCCTCAGCATATTGCTTTTGTCCCATGCTCTTGCTGGAGTCACAGTATTCCAAAGCTGACACTTCAGATGGCATGGGGCAGGGGTCCAATACTGCAGGTACTCTTAGGAAGCCTGCCCTCACCCTTTCCTGGGCCCACCATGGCAAGCAGCACTGTCAGATAAAACTCGAACAACAAACTTGCAATCAAAGCAAAGAAGAAAAAGATTACCTTTTTGTAATAATTTCTCTCCAGGACACTGACTCGGTCACAAATTCTCTGAAGTTATCATTTGTTACAATTATACCCCCAGTCTTGTCCGCTAAGTGTAGTAGGAACCTATGGTAACAAGAGGGTTCAAAATAAGCAAATAGCATGTCTGGCTCAGAAAAGCTGTGCTATAAGGAAATAGCCAGTTTAAAAAAGGCTGGACACAAGGAAGTTTGGTCCCTGTCAACTGAAGATGGATAAAATGTCGAGTATCTCTGGAATTACTAGTGTGATTATAAAACAACTTTTTTTCCCCCATGCAATCTAATTCTACAAAACTGATTTTAACTATGATTCCTACATTTTCTAGAAAAGATCCACCAATAAACCATGATAGCAATGCATGAAGACTTAAGCAGAGGACAAGTTATAGGTAACTCAGCTTTCAGCTGAGTTTACTTCAATGTTAGTTGACAGGTTTGCAATTAAAACAAAACAAAACACCAATCCATTTTCTGCTTTGCTTTAAGAAGACATCATCATTTTAGCCTAAATATAGACAGATTCACTCAACTATGAAAGGACACATGGTGATGAAGTGGTTTTTGCATTTTAAAAAACAGTTTTAGTGGTGCTGGCATCAAACTAAGGGCCTGGCATACTAGGCAAGTGTACGAGAGGGCACAGCCAAGAAACCACTATGGCTGGATTGGATGGCTGGGGGGAAGTCTCTCGCATTTTATTTATTTATTTATTTATTTATTTATTTATTTATGATGTAGATAGGAGACAGAGAACAGCGGGAGGCATCTGGAAGAGTCCAGAGCAGAGAGAGAAAGAAGCAGAATGGATATGGCCAGGGCTATTTCTGTGGTGGGGGTCAATGGGGACATGGCCATAGTGAGCAGCTGGAGAAGCTGGAAAGAATGAATATGGGGGTGGGTGCCATTCTGAAGAGAGTGGCCTGGGAGCTTGCACACTGGAGGGGAGGGAGACCATTGAGGTTAGCATGGGGGCTTTGATATTCATAGCATACACATGTTACTAGGCACTGGAGGAGCCTGGAGTTAGCTTCAGGCTTGCTATGTAACCACAGGTATAACCAAGGGAAGCGACCCTTTCTGGTGGGCAGGAATGTGACGTGTGTGAACTTTCATCTCTCTGGAGGACAGCAGTCCCTCTGTAGTTCGGCTTGAGCGGAGCCAAGACTGTCATTTTTGGGGTCACCCACTGCCTTCTGGAGAACTGGGGATCTCTTTGAACTCTATCACTAAACTCCCAGCTCTGTGTTTGAGAGATTGAGGCTTAAGTCTCCTAGGTTGGCCTTGAACTAAATAGCCTGAAGATGACCTTGACCTTCTGGTGCTGGGATTACAGGTGTGTGCCATTATGCTTGGCTTATAGGGTGCTGGGGATACACAAAGCCTCTCGGACATGGTGATAAAAGGGAGCAAGAATTAAATAATTTTGTTTTATTGCTGAAAATTATCCGTTTAAATCCTCTTAAAATCTTTGTGAGTAGAAAGGCATGGTACTGCACACCTTTAATACCAGCATTTGGGAGGCAGAGGCTGGTGAGTTGGAGGCCAGCCTAGTTTACATAGTGAGTTCCAGGAACAGCCAGGGCTACATAGTAAGAACCTATCATAAAAAACAACAACAACAAAACAAACAAACAAAAAAACAGAACAAAAACTGCAAAGATAATGGACACGTTATTTCTTGAATAAGAACAAAGATAGTGAAACAAACAAGTCACTGTACTCACAGGTGAAATGGCTGCTCTTAGCAGTGACAGTGACTCAGAAAGTGGGACTTAAAACAACTCAACAGTTTCCCAGGCTTTTGGAACCTTGGAAAGTTGGTTTTGTTTTGTTTATTAGCCCCAACCCCCGCCCCAGGAACCTACATACCCCAGGCTAGTTTAGAATCCACTATGCAGCTGAACATGGCTCTTCTGATCCTTCTGCGGCTACCTCTAAAACGCTGAGATTATGGGTTTGAGCCACCACACTGGGCTGAGTTTCTTATTAATGAACATTTAGGTTTCTTCTAAAGAGCTTGACTGTCAATGGTGCTATTTGCCCAGAAGTCAATAAAAGCAGATGGTGAGGCGTCTCATCCTACCCACCAGGACACACACCTGTGTTCTCTGAAGCCCAGAGAGCTATATAGACCAAGCAAAAGCTTCTGCATGTCTGTTTCTGTATTTGAGTCCCCTGGCTGTGAGAAGAAATCTGTGGTGGTAGAGACCTGAAGGCTTCCCTGGACCTACTGGCCTAACTACTTTTTCACCTGAGCAATTCAGGGTTCCTGAGCCTGTGACGGTGCTGACAAGAACTGCCCCTCCAGGACAGATTCCCAGGACTGACCCTGACCCATGTGCTGCCCTCTCTCAGGTCTTCTCATTGTCTGACAGCACCTTGGATCCACCCCATCCAACCCCGTCTCTTTCCCGTCTATGAGAGTGAATGTCAGCAGTGGCCCTAAATCACCTCTTTCCCATTCAACCACATGCCAGCGTAAGCAACTCTCTTCACTGGGACAAGGACAGAGTAATGCAGAGAAGGAATAGACAGCCTGAGGGTCCCACACACCATGCCTGCTACTACTTACAGGACAGCACCAGAGTAGAGCTGTAAAAACTATATATCACTGGGTAAGCTTGGAATCAAATTTCTCCTTCTGCAGGGGGGGGGGGGCAGACATCTACTCAGACCTATGCTCTACATAGTGAATGCTAGGCCAGAGCTGCACAGTGATACCCTGTCTCCAAAACAAAACAAACCACTACATATATCTACATTTTCTCACCTCAGACATGCTTTACTAAATTTTAAACAAAACCAAACCTAACACAATAGTGTCTTCTGTGCCATTCCTAACTTCATAGGGTATATAAGCTTAGTAGTGACCTTGATCTCATGTTTTCAAGCTGAGCCAAGCAGGTCCCTTCAGAGTCTACACCTGATTGGTGGAAGGTAGCTAGCTGGCTCCTCACCACCCCACTCCCACCTTGGGAAGGAAAATAGCCCTTCATACCTGTCATCATGAGAAGCAATTCTTTCTCCAAAGACCATCCGGGCAGGAGTTAAAGATAATATTCCAAGCTCTTGGAGCTGGGTTAAGAAGTGCTGTTCTGTTCGTGGGAAGAAGTTGATATGTATTCAGCAAAGGCTATCTTCCCAGATGTGTAAATAAATGAATGCAAACCCAAATATTTCACTTGGGGACTTGCAGAAACCTCTTTTTCCTACTGACTCAATTTTACTAACTCAACCAGATGAAGAAGGGGGAAAAAAAAAAAAAAAAAGAAACCAAGTAAGATTTATACTCAGGCAAAGTCTATATATGAAATGACTGGTAGTTTTTAAAACAACTGACCAACCAATGTTAAAAGCATTTGCCTCTTGAGACTAAACCATAGCCTGTAATTAATTAACCCTGCCCCCAAGAACATTTCCAAAGGTATATATTACAAGTAGAATACAAAAAGAGAAATGACAAGAGTTCCCAAAAGGGTGGGAGTGGGGAGGGGACAAGCCCTCTGAAGCAGAGGCAGTAGCAGGAACAAACCACTTCGTTCCAGTCAAGAAAGGCTGTGTGCTCTCCAGCCTGCCTGTAGCCTCCTCCTGTCCTAATCACTCCTAGCTGTCTGTGTAAGCGTTTACTCAATTTCCCAGGCACAAGTAGTGACAGAATGGAGGGCCTATGCTGTCCTGTGGAGAAGCACTCACAGGCAGGAGAAGCTGAGCTGAAGTCAGATTCCTGTGTTTGCATTTCCTACCAAAGCTGCCAGTGACCTGAGCTGACCTGCCCACATTAGGGGTTCCCCACCTCAGAGCTGCCCAGTGCATATGCACTGAGACAGCAAGAAAAGAGTGAGTGTGCCTCGCTCCTATGGCTCTTCTGTTGTAACACCTTCTCCCAGAAAAAGGAAGCTACTCTGGAGTGGAGCAGCCGCAGCACTTCCCCCTCCCTAGGAACTAACTCTCACTTCCTGTTCTGGACTGGACAAATCTATAAGAGATGTCCCCCACCCCCCTTTCTACCTTTCCTTTCTCGGTGCACTTGCTCATGTACTATGCCTGCAGCAACCTTCTGCTTCTCTGGACTACTTCACAATATAGGAGTTCTGACCTTTTGTGTGGGGCCTGTAGGTTACACACCAAGTACCATATGGCAAACAGAAGTGATTCCTGTAAGCCATCAGGCTACTAAGAAGACGTGTCTGAAGGTACAAAACTGACCAAGCAAGTATTCTAAAAATATTATTAAGAAAAAATATTATTTAAATACTCAAAAGCCCAAACTAGTAGAGGCATGTACTTTCTAACAGCTACTCTATCCTTCCTTATCACTCCCTTTTACACTACAATACCCCTCAACTGAGAGGCGTGCCTAAAAATCCTGCTGAGTAGCTAAGGATGTCTCTGATCTTCTTGCTTCGTCCTGAGTACTGGTCTTACAGGTGTGCACCACCACACTGAGTTTTCAATTGATATTTTACCAGACAGAACCAATTTAGAGTGTTGTCATTCAAACTGTTGCCCATGTGTGTGATTCTACTCTAGGTACCCTGTGCTACAATCTGAAGCCAGTTCATTAATTATCTAGCCAGAAGTATAGAAAAGTCACTGGGCCTCACCTGTGACATTAGGATCGCGCCTCGTTCTCCACTGTGGGACAAACACAGTGATGTTTCGGTTGCCAAGCTTCCAAAAATACTCAACTGCAATTGCTATTCCACGACAACTAAAGAACTTCTTTAGACCATGGCTGGAAGGAAACAAGGACAATTTCATTCAGGTTAAAGCCTATGTAAAGCCTAAGTTTTACCACAGAAAAGAACAATCACACACAACAGAAACAATACAAACTGCTTTTACTTTTCGAAGTTGTACAGTCTGCTACTTTACGAAGGCAAGTTAGATCTGCTGGCAGAGTCTTCCTGTGTCTTAAGAGTCTTAGATCTTTGTGTTTGGCAAATTGGGCATACTGTTTTGGTGGAGGCTGGCAGGCTTGCTGTAGTATCTGTTTATTATCATGGGAGTTTAAACTATATTCTACTGGGAAAAACTACTATTGTTTCTAAGTTCTGTCTAATCATTGGCCTCTAAGAATTTTATCTTCCTTTTTTGAGATGTGTACACCATTGAGGCTGACTAGAGCATGTGACCCTCTGCCTCAGACTCCAGACATCAACATCACTGCTGTATACCTCCACAGCTAGCCTAATTATGGAGTGACTATCCTGGTGGAGTTTGGCTTTTTGCTTGTTTGCTGTGTTATGGATCAAGTCTGGGTCCTTACACATGCTAGGCTAGCATTCTACATTGAGCTCCATTGCCAGTGTGCTTCTGAGAATTCCTTGTGAATCTTATCACAGTCAGTAGCTGTGATAATGCCTGTGCATGCGCCTGCCTATGGTTGAGGCAGGAATAAAAATGTGACTCTACTGCCACTACCAAAGTGCCCAATGTCACTGCTAGTTCTGGAGGGTGGGTGGGTGCACCACCCGCTTTCTAGGGAACTGAGAAGCTCCCAAGTCTACAAACTTATAAAAAACAAACTGAAAATAAGATTCAAATGAAACTAACTAGGACTATGGGGACTGTACTGAATGAAGCGGAAGAAAAAGCTAAGTATGTAAGAAACAGGCTAGAACCTGTCAATCTGCAAAGGTCACCGTGGTCACTGTCTCACCACTCACTCTGCCACAGAAATGTGACAGCAGCCACACACAGCTGTAGATGACAAACATGGCTGAGTTCCTACTCATAAGACAGAAATGGGGCCACACTCAGTCCAGTGTGTGACTTCCTGCTACAGAACACACACACACACACTCTCACTCTCTCTCTCTCTCACACACACACACACACACACACACACACACACACACACACACACACACACACTGCATTCTCAAGTCTGGCAGTGCATTTTAAAATACAAAAACAGAAACTTCCTGGAGAGATGGCTCATGCTTAAGAGCACTTGCCACTCTTGCAAAAGGGCATGGATTCGACCCTCAGCACTCACATGGTGGCTCAAACCATCTGTAACTCCAGTCCCAGGAAAGCAGCCCTTTTCTGACCAGGCATGTATATACTATACATATACCTAGGAAAAATACTATAAATAAAAAACAAAACAAAACAACCCAGCTGGCTATATGGCTCCACAGGCAAAAGTGCCACAATGTACCATGGTGTGTGTTTCCCACCCTCCCCACCCCACATAAATGAATAAGTAAAACATAAATAACCCTTCATCTTTGTCTCAGGTAGTTGAATAGAGGTGGAGGACAGAGGTCCTTCCACACACACATCCTTTGATAGGACTGGCTTCCAAGCCCCCTCCACATTTGACAGGTCAGGGAGAGCAAGCCAAGGCAAACTTTCCATAACACACATCCCAGCCAGCCCTTGCTCTTGGGTGGTCTGGTTGCTAAGGCTCCTTGTGTACCTTCCACACCAGGTCTTCTGAGGGCTCAGTCCAGTCTCCTGTGAAGTTCAGCCTTCCTGTCTTCTCACCTCCTACATTCTACTGTGCAGAACATGACAGAGTGGCCTGTCCGGGGTGTGCAGCCAGACAGTGGCCCCCATTCTTGGCCAATGCCTTTCCATTATCCCACAGTACAACAAAACCCCATTTGCATCCCTGATCCTTGAGAGTAGGAAGTGCTGGATATAAGCAGCTAAGTTGTCAAGAAGTGGCAAAGAGTAGCTCACAAGTTCTCTTTGCTAGAGGATATAAAACCTACTCTTTTTCAGAGACTCATAAAAAAGAAAACTATCAGCCAGGTAGTGACAGCACACGCCTGTAATCCCAGCACTTAGGAGGCAGAGGCAGGTCTCAGTCTCTGTGAGTTCAAGAGGCAAACCTAGTCTATATAGATCAAGTTCCAGGACAGCCAGTGTTACACAGAGAAATCCTGTTTCGAAAAACCAAAAAGAAAAAAAGACAAGAAACCATCAGGTCATTAACCCAGAAAACACATGCAAGCGATAACCCCACTGCTGATATGGCAAGGATGTACCAGCAAGACACCTGTACTGTGTGAAAACAAGGGGTAACTGAGTTTCTTGATGTTTTTAAAGAGTAAGTATCACTCTGTTTGATCCAAAGGGCAGGCCTGGAGTTAAGACAGTCAGTTCTAACATAAAGATCCCAAATCCAGAGCACGCACCCAAGTCAGCCCACTTCAGATAACTGGCTTATCCTCCTCTCCTTAAATGTCTCCTGCTGACCACAACAGCAGGAGTGGATGTGGACAGAACACCAAGTTCCGCTTGCCAGGTCAATGAAGAAAAGGAGACGACACAGATGGGAGGAATTCTGCTACCCTGGGCTTCTTGCAAGCTTGGGGTGGGGGTGGGGGCAAATAGTTTAAAGCAATAGTAAAACAAATAAAGTCTAGAAGCACCAATGTTGCACCAGTTTTCAGTGTTTTCTATGGTAAAATTATAGCATTTTCCACTCTGAAAACTCCAGAGTTTAAAAAAAACAAAAAACAAAAAACAAAAAACAAAAAAACAGAGCTCAAGGTTCAGATTAGAGAATATAGATTTATCTAGAAAATAAAACTACAGAAAAAGGAAATGAGGGCTGGGGTGTGACCAATATAGCATGTGTGTGGTCTGAGTTTTAACTCTCAGTCCCAGGGACGGGGAGGGGGGGGGGAGAGGGAGCCAAGCTGTTGTCATAATATTAGTCTAGTAAGAACTCTACTTTTGGGGCTAATACTCTGACTGGATAAAGTGTGCCTCTGCCCACCAGAAGGCCTCTGCAATAGAGAGGCTGGTGGACAAGAAGTACAACAATGGTCTGCCCTGCTCTAGAGAACATATATTCAAAGTGCACAGACTATAAAACCTTTCTACTTTGGGACTCCAAATAGACCCTGGCTCCACATTCAGGAAAACACTGAGCCTGGAGGGTAAGTGTGTTAGCTCTCCATGAAGATCTGAACTCCTATTCCATGCTGCACAAGTTAAATTACCTGGCTATTTTCCCCCCTTCCACATTATAGCAGCCAGTCAACATGTTTAAAAGAGAGGAGAGCTGGGTGACAATAGCTAGCTATCAGTGGTCATCAAACCAGGCAGGACCATGTAAGGAAATATTGTGGAAAGCCCTTTCTTAATTAATCAGGAAAGCATGGCTTCCTTCTAGCTTCTAAGTTAAGAAAAATAGTCATGGAACCTGATATAGAAAGACCGGCAAACAAAATGGATAGAGTGCACAGTTCTGACAAGGGAACCGGCAAACCCCACCTACTCAGAAAATCACCAAAGGAGGCCAGTCAGGTGCTCTTACACTGGAGTTTCAGCCAACACTGTGATGGTGAGCCAGACACCGCAAATATTTCCACTGACTCATCACTTGACTCATTCATGGTGACAAGGGGGAAAACGAACCGAAAACACACATAACAGCAGCATAAGGCAGGTATTTGGTACTTTTTGTGGTATATGAGCTGCAGACATCATCCTGGACCAAACAGACAGCAATCCAGGGAAGAGTGGGAGGGGGCTGCTTCACGGTAGTTGACACCAACAGACCCTACTCTTCAGGCCTTGGATTTCCTTCTAAACTACCATAGCACTCAGCTGTGCCATGTAGGTGAGAGTCACTCAGAAGCACTAATGTGTCCAATGACAACAAGGTCTGAACATTGCAAGTTCAACTTCTGTGAGAGATATAGGCAGTCCCAAGTCTAGGTGTGACTCTGGGTAAGGTTCATGTCATTTCATGTCATGTAAGTTATACCCAGTTCTTGCTCCAAGAAACTAGTATGAAGATTGAATTACAAAATATAATGATGATGACGTACCAAGCTGAGAATGAAGCTCAGCTTCGTATGTCTGAGAACCAAAGTTCAATTCTTACTGCCAAAAAACTTAGGAAATATTTGGTTTCAGTTAAGATATAATCCAGATTGGTGATCAGAATGGCAATGGTGTCATGGAGTTGCAGGTGGTGGTAAAAAGCCAGTGAAAAAGTCCTAGCCTTTTACTCAGCAGTTCTTTATGGAAGCCTGCCACTTCTTCCAGAGCCATAGTTGAGGGTAGTTCAGTGGAACAGTCTACCCGAACTCACTCAAGATGGAGTGAAACAGATGGCCTGTGCAGGAGTCAGTTCTCCCCACCCTTGGGACTTTCTGAGGCGAGTCCTCAGAGGACCCAGTCCCTGGTGCTGTACAACCCACAGGGCTTGCCAATTCAGAGCTACTGTGACTGAATAAAAATGGCCCCGTAGGTCCACAGGGGAGTGGCACTTGTTGCCTTGGAGTAGGTGTGTGACTAGGGAATGGGCTTTGAGATCCCAGAAGCTCAAGTTAGTTTCTCTTCATGCTTCCTATGGATCAAGATGTAGAACTCCTCCAGCACCATGTCTGCCTGCATGATAATAATGGACTAAACCTCTGAACTGTAGGCTAGCCCCAATTACAAGTTTTCTTTTATGAGTTGCCATGGTCACAACATGATGTCTCTTCATAGCAATAGCAACCCTAACTAAGACACTAACATGCGGGTGAATCTACATCTAATTAAGTACATCCCTTTTTAAAGTGTTGTTCTTAAACACAAACATTAGTACATTTAAAGAAAAGTCAAATCCTCCAGAAATAATCAGTTTTCAAAACTAGTGAGTGGGCTGGAGAGCTGGCTCAGTGGTTAGAAGCACTAACTGCTCTTCCAGAAGGCTGGGGTTCAGCTACCAGCACCATGGTCAGGCAATTCACAACCATCTACAACCACAGCTCCAGGGGTCCAACACACTCTTCTGACCTCGACAGGCACCAGAATGCATGTGCACAACCTCCCTATATCCCTACCCATACACAAATAAAAATAATGTTTAAAATAATAAGGATAATAATAATTTGTCTCAGCAGTTAAGAGTGTTTGCTGTTCTTAACCAAGTTCAGTTCCCAGAACCCAAGGGGTTCACAGCTGTTTGTCATTCATTCATATATATATATATATATATATATATATATATATATATATATCCAGACAAAAATACACAATAAAAGAAAACAATTAAAAGTACATACTACTAAAATCTTGCATATTCACTTTAAGTGATAGTTACTGTTTTTCAAAAGCAACCACACTATGTCCAAGAGTGTCAGGAAATATGTGTTAATGTCTTGGGCTGTTACGTGTCTGGGAAGGTACACTATGGGCAAAGTGGAAAGGATCAGATATGTATCATATCCTGCCATGTTCAAACAGCACCACTGTACATTCTAATAATGACCACTGTGAGAGATACTAGTGGGCTGGAGAGATGGCTTGGCAGTTAAAGGCTGGGCTCACAACCAAAAACATAAAGGATACTAGTTACCACATCAAGAGTGGATGGATCAGTTGGTAAAGTGCATGAGGACTTAGTTGAACAGATGTCTCAGATCCCCAGATCCCATGTAAAAAGTGAAGGTGGTGGCACACACTTGTACTAGCGAAGAGACAGGAAGAATCCTGGTGCTCCCTAGCCAGCTAATCTAGCCAAGCTGGTGAGCTCCAGGTTCAGTGAAAGACCCTAACAAACACAACACAAACCAAAACAAAGCTAAAACAAACAAAAACCCAAGGTCGAAAGCAATAGAGGAAGGCATCCAATATTAACCTCTGTTCTCCATACGAACACACATACACACATGAACATACAGCATGCGCAGACAAACACTATCATGCTCAGCCTTGGTTCATCCATGTTCTTATTACTTGAATGTCAAATTGAGAAATCTTTTCACATATAGAAAGGTTTTCTTGTAAAATTAGCATTCCTCAAAATTACTACTTAAATGCTGTTATCACTTAGTTTAGGAACTAACAAGGAGGAACTGGAGCCAGTCTTGGACTACAGGTACCTGAACGGCTCTTACAGTTTTACTTAGATAAATCTATGTAGCCGTGGGGCATTTGCTGGATTTCCCCTAACAGAGCTGCCAAAAGCCAAAGTAAGATGATAACAGGCAGAACTGCCTGGAAATGAGGATACAGCCACAATAGTTTTACTGCCTGCCTTTACACTGTTCAACCTTTGATCCTCCTGCCTTGACCTTCCCAGGGCTGGAATTCAGGAAGGGGCTACCAAGCCCTGTTTATATAGTGCATGGAGTAAAACCCTGGCCTTCATGAATGCTAGGTAAGCAGCCAGCCCCAGCCCAAATTGCCAAATCTGTAATATGTAAAATGGTGGCACTTCTTTTTTTTTTCAATTTTAACAGCAAAATGTAAACATATAATCAATAATTTATTTTTAAAAAAGAAAAGCAAAATGATGCTTACACTTATAAAAATCTGCACTGCCAAGCATGGTAGCACACACCTTTAAAGCCCTGCACTTGTATGAAGATACAGAGAGGAGGATCTTCATGACTTTGGAACCTGCCTAGTTGACATAGCAGGCCAACAAGGGCTACATAGTAAGGCCATGCCTCAAAACAAACAGGCCAGCTGTGGAGGCGCATGTCTATAATCTCAGCACTTAGGAGGCAGACTGGACCTTTTGTGAGTTTAAGGGCAGCCTGCTCTTCACAGCAAATCCTAGACAAGGGCTAATGGCGAGGCCCTATTCCAAAACAAAAGATATACACCAAAAGCTGTCAGGGCAGACTTAAAGGGTGAGCTGGAGAACAGCAAGCAAGCTTAAGGTCCCAGAGAAGCCCAAAGTGCTCCTGACTTCCACGCCTGCAGTCAGCAGCCATGGTTCTGTGCTACCCCATGGCTGAGGATTTTAACATGGGCAAACTAGGCACAGTTGCTGCTGGAGACATCTTACCAAGCACACCAAATTCATATGGGACATGACCTAAGAGGTGTGTGGCTTTGCTCCCATCAGCAGTGAGCTCTACAGCTGCTCAGTGTAGCCAAGGACAAGTAGGTCCCAGAGTTCATCAAGAAAAAGCCAGACACACATACACCCACACAGGGAGGGAAGAAGGGAGAGAGGAGGGACAGAGGGAGGAAGGGAAGGAGGGAGGAAGGGTGGGTGAGAGGAAGGAAGGGAGAGGAAACAAGGAAGAGAGAGGAACTGAGCCAGAGTCCTCGCCACACCACCACGAGGAAGGCAGTTGCCAACAAAGTCCCTTCCTTCCTCTGAGCAGTAAATACTCTCAGAAACATTGGAATGTATCTGAGATTTCCTTTCAAGTACACAAAGGGCTAGAGGGAGCTCAGCAGCAGAGCACTTGCCCAACACTCTGAAGAGCCTCCACCCCCGATACCACAGGGAAAATCAACAGAATAAAACAAAGAAAAGTCCAATCACGGAAAAGTGGGTTTAAAGTGGTAGTTAAGCGTGCAGATGGAACAAGACTGGTCATGAACTAGCAATCGTTGAGGATGAGTAAGTAAACCCATAGAGTGTCACCACAGCTTCTTGTTATACTTCTTTGTAAATTTTAATAGAAAAAAAAAAAAGCAGAATAAATGATTAAGTAAAGCTGAGTTCAGTTCCCACATCAACAGAGGGAGGATCACAACTGCCTGTAACTCTGGTTCCAGAGAGTTCAATGCACTTGTCTGGCTTCTTCAGATACCCACAAACACGTGGGGTACACTCACATAAACATACATGCATATACATTAAAAAAAAGAACAACAACAAATGTTAAGTGGTTGGAAAGATGGCTTAGCAGTTAAGAGAGCTTGCTATTCTTGCAGAGGACTTGGGTTCAGTTCCCAGAACCCACACAGTGGCTTACAACTGTAACTCTAGTCTCAGGGGATCCAATATCCTCTTCTGGCCTCCATGGACACCAGGCATATATGTGGAAGACACACAAACATGTAGGCAAAACTCCCATACACATAAAATAAAATAAACATATGCGCCAGTACTTAATTTTTCATGCCTGAATATAGCCTAGCCAGCCAGCCTGGGCAACTTAGAAAGACTATCAAAATGAAAACTAAAAAGAGTACTGGGGACAATACAGGGGCGGAGTGTTAGCCTCACTCATATAAGGCCCTGTCCAAACATTAGTTCTGGAAAGAGAAGGCATTCCTAAAACTTCAAGACATGAGTTGACCTTTTAGAATTCCTAGAAAGAGGTCATACAGACATTCAACAACAGAGTGTTATTCTTATGATTTAGTGTCTAAGGGAGCTGGGAATGATGGCTCAGCAGTTAAGAAAGGCTTGAATTCAGTTTTAAGCACCCATATCAGGTAACTCAAATCCACCTGGAACTCCAGCTCCAGGAGAACTGACATGCTTTTCTGGCCCCCTCGGGTACTGCATTCATGTATACAAACTGACTTTCAGACACACATAAACACTCAATTAAAAGTGAAAACAAATGTCAGCACTCAGGAGGCAGAGGCAATCGGATCTCTGCGAGTTCGAGGCAAGCTTGGTCTACACTGCCAAGGCTACACAGAGAAACTGTCTTTAAAACACACACACACACACACACACACACACACACATTACTTTTTTTTTTTTTTTTTTTTTTTTAAAGATTTTCTTGGGGGAAGCTGAGGCAAGAAGTACTACAAATTAGTAGCTAGCCTGGGCTACAAGAAATTATCTCACAAACTAGAGGCAGCAGCAAGCCACAGCTGCACTTTTGTACTGGGAATCTAACGATGACACAGATTCATTTACAGCTGTACCCTTTGTGTCAGAGCAAGGTGGAATGGGAAAATATAATCTCAGTGTACCATCTGCCAACAGGAACAGGGTGAAGCCAAAGCTCAGAACTCTAGAAGATCAAATGCAAAAACCTTTCCAACCAGTCTACACATACACAAATGCGCACATGCCCACACACCCACACACACCCACACCCACTTCTCAGACATTGCTTAGAGAACTAGGCAAGAATAATTTGCAGAGTGAACTTACGTAATTGCAACATTACTCCCATCTATAACAATATGCTTCAAATCTGCTCTCCCTGGTTCATTTTTTAATTCCAGCTTGTATGGTATTTTCAGGGTATCTCGAAATCTTTGAACCCCTGTAACTGAGGAATCAATATGATCAGAGGATCCTGCCAACCGTGTATCAGTAACTGAAGGTAACAGCTGGGGCTGGGGCAGCGGCATCGGCGGAGAAAGGGGGGGATAATTTGGCTTAGGCTGAGGAGAGTTACAACAGGCAGAACGTTTCTCACAGGCAGGCTTCATATTATTTGGAAGTGAGGGTTCCGCTTGCTGTTGAAAGCCATTTTCAGGAAAAGCTGGGCTTCTCTGCTGGTGACCTGCAGGCCCCCTTGAAATAAAGCTGACTTCTTTAGGACTGGAAGGGGCTACAGAGGGTGAGAGGCTGTCGGTCTCAAGGCCTACATTACAACCGTAGTTCTGGGGTGAGCCCCACATTTCATGTTTCTGTCCTACTGGCACTGTTCTGAAAGAATTAATTCTGCAATTTGAGGTACATGGTTTAGAGTCTTTGAACGGTAACTGGGAAAACTTTTCCACCATATTTTGCTCTGTGTGACTCTGTGTTTTCTTTGGAGTAGAATCTGTCGTGAGCTCATTTGTGCTGCTCCCAACACCCGCACTTCGACTATGAGCAGCATCTGGATACATGGTGCTAGGTGGAAGTGCTCGGTCCTCTTGGAGCCTTTTGTTCTCTTTTTCAATTTCCTCCAAGAGCAATAATGGTTCTGTAGAAGGCCCATACTCCCTAATGACCTTTTCAACAATCTCTTGGGAATAACCCATGGTTTTAAAGAAGTTCACAAGGATGTTGTATTCCATTTCTTCTGTAGTGTCTTTCCCATCGGGGCTCAGGTTTGTAGAGTTAGAAGCATCATCAGATAGGTCAATGACTTCATTTCCAGCCGAAGCCTTACCATCATGCACAAGCTCTCCCTCTGGAACATTCTCCAAAGAAAATTGCTTCTTGGTATGCCTTTCTTCTGTATCAGAAGACCTCCTCTTGTGACAAACTCTGTCTTTGGAAAGTGCATCTTCATCTGGACTTAGACCATTTACTGGAACAAAGAGCACATCTGCCGAGCTAGAAAAGACTGCGTCCATTTGCTTTGTAAGCTCAGAAACAGGGGTCCTGGCTTTATTTCTGGAATCTTCCTGTAAAACAATTTCATCTCTAGCAATACTAGGTCCTGTGGCAGCATTCTGTGTCAACTCTGATGGCTGCACATCTCCAATTTTAATGACATCATCATCTCCTGTTTCAAACAGATTCCCTTCACCTTGGGTGAGACTCAGTAGTTCTTTCTTCAAGGAAGTAGGCAAAATCAACAAATCCATTGTATAATTGTCTGCATGAGCTTCAACAAACTGTCTGAATTCCCGTTTGATTTCCGACTCTTTCTGACTGCTGGGCAGATTCTCATTATTCTCAAAGAGCTTCACAAACTGCTGAATATGACTCCTGGCCATGACCACAGCCTCAGCGCTTCCTCTGATGCCAAGAAGCCCCGTGTCTAAAATGCAGAGGTCAGCACAAGTATCCTGAATTAGGCTCTTTAAAAATAGGCTCTGTGCCCCGACAAAAATGCAGTGCATGGCCTTGGGGTAGCACTCTCTTTCTTCCAGTTCAGGCTCACAGATCCCTTTGATATATTCCTGTAAAAAGAAGACAAAATCAGACCAATTTACCAGATTCCTTAGTACATAAACCTGTAACAGCCAGGCTGATTTTTTTTTTTTTAAATCATGAAACATATTTATAATTTGGAGTAAAATTCCTTGACTTCAAGAAAAATAAAGAATTACATCTTTGGACTTTTGTGTATGGGGGGCTGTTTGTTTGTTTCACTCTAAACTATTTAATCATCTTTAGAGGAATTGAAACTCTACAAAGTGAGAATGCATAACCTTTTCACTGTGTCTTCTTCTGTGATCTTAGGGGCTTGCCTGCCTACACAGTGGATAATCCCAATGCTAGATTCATTTACATCTAAAGAACATCTCCTTGCACCCAGTCTTTTCTCACAATGGGGACATATTCCCGAGATGAGATAATCATATAGTTAATTATGAGAGAACAAAGGCACAGCCTTTGGTTTGCGGATTCAACAAACATGATCATCGGCCTTCCAGGTTTCTTGAAGACATTTAGAAACAAAAAGACTCAAGCATAATCAGAGAATACTAATAGGACTTCTATTGGCTGCTACTGAAGAAGGCTTTGATAAGGTTAAGAAAAGGCACTAGAGAGATGGATCAGCAGTGAATGAACTTGCTGCTAAGTGTGACAATGACCTGAGGAACCCACACGGTAGGAGGAATGAATCAACTCTCTGACCTCTACACACATGCTGCGGCCACACACACACATACTCTCTCTCGCCCTCCCTCCCTCCCCTTCCTCTCTCTCTCTGTCTCTCAAAGAATAAATAATAGAAAAAAAAAAAAAAAAAACTTAAGGGAACTAGTTTATTTAGCAAGTGGGCTGCTATTGGAATTTAAAAAAAATGAGTCAAGCAATTCTCTCTCTTCTCTCTCTCTCTGAAACACATTTGTTAATACACCCACCAACTTTAGCTCTGGAATGTGTTGGTCTCCAATTGCAGAAATACTACTGGTGTAGTCTTGCTCAAATTATGCAAGCAAAGCCCAGGTTCTTCAACAGCAGAGGTAAGAATAGTGCAGTCATAGAGGGTTAGGGGACTTAAAAGACCTGGGCACACTGTGAGACTGTTACTCTATCATGCTCACACATTTAAATCCAGGTTCTACGTGAGAATATATAATATTTGCCTTTCTCTCCCACACAGCTCCCTTAAGTCCCTTACTCTCCTCCCACCCCACAGTCCTAGGACTTTTCTACTTGCCTTTCGTATCTTTTTTTTTCCTCCTCCTTCCCAAGGCAGGGTTTCTGTGTGTAGCTTTGGAGCCTGTCCTGGAACTAGCTCTTGTAGACCAGACTGGTCTTGAACTCAGAGTTCTGCCTGCCTCTGCCTCCCAAGTGCTGGGATTAAAGGTGTGCACCACCAATGCCTGGCTTACTTTTATATCTTAAGGTTGAATAAAACTTCATTGGGTAGATGCACCACCTTTCCTCTATCCATTCATCTTCTGTTGATGGGCATCTAGGCTGGTTCCATAACTTAGTTATTGGACATGGTGCTCCAATAAGCATGAACGCGGGAGTGTAGTGATGTTAACTTTTTCACTCAGCACGATGCTGTTAAAACTGCTGCATCTGGAAGTGGTGGCTCATACTAGCAACTGTAAAGAAGGGACAGCAAAGCAAGACTGTTGTTTCAGGTCAGCGTTGGCTATAGAGGGAGACCTGTCTCAAACAAACAAAGCAAAACACCGTAAAGACCACACATGGTGGCTTCCAGCCACCGCCACCAACACTACCATGTTACTGGTTGTCTTTATAGAATGCTCCACCCAACAGCCAAAATATGTTCTTCTCGAGAACCCACAGAACCATCAAGATAAACCTTATGCTGACCATGAAACAAATCTCAACAAATTTAAAGAACTGAAATTATGTAGAATGATCTGACCACAAATGAATCAAATAAATCAGTTACAGATAAGAAAAATTTCCAAATGATTGGAAGTTAGAAACTAAACAGCACACTTCTAAGTAACTCACAGGTCAGGGGAATTCTCCTGTTTCTGTTCCTTTCTTTGGAAGGGTACGGATCTTCCCCACCTGAGCTCTCTCTTTACAGTGCTGAGGATGAACCCAAGGCCTTGGTCATGAGGGTAAGTGTTGTTCTGAGGAGCTGCACCACACCTCCTCTAGGGAACTGCTTTCAGGAGTACACTGAACTAAGTGAAAATAATACGAGATATCCCACACAACTGAAGCAGCACCAATGTTTGTTTATACTTTTATTGGCTTTTCCAACAGTCTCAATACAACCCTGACTGACCTAGAACTCACTATGTGGATCACCAAGTGAGCCTTGAACTCTGTGATTCTTGCACCTCTGCCTCCCCCTGTGCTGGGGTTATGGGCAGACAGTCATGCCTAGCTTGAAAAGGAAATGTATGACATAAATGCACATATCGGAAAACAACAAAAAAATGGGTATGGCAACTCAAACCTGTAACCTACCTTAACCTTAGCATTTAGGAGGGATAGGTGGGGGACAGATACCAGTTCAAGGACAGCAAGGCTACAAAGCATGAACCCTGTCTGCCTCTTGGGTGCTAGGGTTGCAGATGGTCTCCAAACCTGCCCTCATGGTCCCCAAACTTCTGTAACTAGTGCTTTATCCACTGAGCAACCTTTCCATCCCCCACGTGTATGATTTTAACATACCAGGGTAAAGGCCCATGCTTTGTTTTCTTCCTATGCTGGCAATCAAAGTGTGAAACTTGTATGCATTAGACAAGTGCTCTACCACTGAGCTACATTCCCAGACAAGTTCATTTATTCTTTCATCCTTTCTTTTCCCACTCTTTACAATAGCAGCTGCCTCACATTCCAAGTACATGCATTAAAAAGGCAGCATACAATGCATACTTTTTGTGTTTAGCAATCAAACTCAAAGTGTGGTAGTATAATCCTAGTCTATAATCCTAGCACTGAAAAGGCTAAAACAGAAGTCTAAGTTCTAGGCTACACTATGACACTTTACATAACAAACAAAACATCACAAAGGAGAAAGTAATCAATTGCATTTACTCAGGAATTCACTACTTCCATGTAAACTTTAGTAATTTAGAACTTCAGGAACTTGTAAAAAATTATTTTTTGTCATTTTTAATTATGGGGTAGGGAGGATGTACACCTAAGTGTAGGTGTCTACAGAGGTCAGGGGTATCTGATCCCCTGGAGCTGGAGTCACCGGTGTTGGACTTGGGTCCATACCTTACCTGCTGACCCATGTCTCCAGCCTTCAACTTAAGCAATTGTTATGCAATAACTGTTTGCAATGGTTTCCCTTTACTTTTTCTTTAACTGAGAATGCTCTATTTTACTCTTAAATGATCCTTTGATAGGGAATTCTCCATAAAGGTTCTTACTGTGCATGATGGCACCAATTTTAATCCTAACACTCGTGAGATTGAGGCAGGAGCTCGCTATGAGTTACAGGTCAGCCAGGGTTCCACAGCGAGAGCCTTGAAGAGCAGCCAGTTCATAAAACACTCATTTCTCCATCACAAGACTAGCTGAGGAGGACATACTATTTACATTCTTTGTGACCATGACCCACAACTCAAGCTTGAAAAAGAACTAAAATTGTGTATCTGCTTTGTGAGACAGGTCCCCTGTGATACAACTGCCCTTAAACTAACTCCTGATTTAAAAAAAAAAAAAATGCAGTTATTAAAGTTTGTGCCCCCATAGCTAATTTCATATACTGCTTTTTAAAAATGTTTGGGGCTGGAGAGGCATTTCAGAGATTAAGAGCACTGGCTGCTCTTTGAGATGACCCACATCAATTCCCAGCATCCACACGGTGGCTCACAACACTCTGCAACTTTAGTTCCAGGAAGACTCTTCTGGCCTTCATGGGCACTGTATGTACATGTACACAGATATACATACAGGCAAAATATTCTGATGTGCAAAAGGGGGAATAAATCTCAAATAAATAAATAAAAACAGGGGGAAATATCATTCTAACTGTAGACAAAAAAATCATTTTTAAAAATAATTTATTTAGCTTTATGTGTATTGGTGTGAAGATGTCAGATCCCCTGGAACTGGAGTTAAAGACAGTTGTGAACTGCCATGTGGGTGCTGGGAATTGAACCCAGGAAGGTCCTTTGAAAGAGCAGCCAGTGCTCTTAACCACTGAGTCATCTCTCTAGTCCACAAAAGGGAAAAAAAAAAAAAAATTTAAGAGGTCTATTCTCATTGACATATAACCAATACATATTATTTATATATAAACTATTGAACTTTTTTCAAATTAAGTAATTGTATGATGCTTTGACAAAGAAAATCTAAGCGGCCTCTCTTCCATGAGCAGTCTGGATGGTACATGTTCTCATTTCTACAGAGAACTGAGTACTTTATGACTAAATGACGATTAAGATCCAGCACAAGTGCCCATGTCTAAGGCCACCCAGTTATTTTAAGTGGACTGCCTCATTTACACATACTGTATGTAGGGGGGGAACAGAAAGCAACTTTATGTTGAGGATATGGAAAAAGAACCTTGACTTCTAAGATATTAACTACCTGCTGAGCCTTAAGTCCTAAGAATGCTGGCATGTTTGACAGGTAACAGATCTGTCATGAGCTGTGGTTCGAATGCCCTATGGTTTGGAATGTTCATGCAACAGGATGGTTGTTTAAAAAGCCCTTTATTTTTGTTTTTAGTTTGTCTGAGACAGCATCTCGCTACGTAGCCCTGGCTGTCCTGGAACTTGTTTTGTAGACCAGGCTAGACTCAAATGCACAGAGATCTACCTGCCTGCCTCTGTTTCCCAGTGCTGAGATTAAAGGCCTGCACCATCAAGCCCAGCTTCCCTTAAAAGCATTTCTTAAGGCATCTGGGAGCAGGTGTGACATGGCAAATTGGGGCTAAGTCTACAGTCTATAAATGGTTGCCACCACCACAGAACTGACGCTGCCTGAAAATAGAGAAAAGAAAAAGGATGGAGATTTGGTAAACGTCAAGTACCAGGTGTCCCCTTCCTGC